CTCTGTCCAGCTCAGGGTGGCGGGGGAGCTGGAGCCTGTCCCAGCAGGCAATGGGCGCAGGAAGCAGGCCGAACCCCCCAAACATGCACGGTTCTGTTTGCTTCGCACTCAGACCCTTTTCAAAGATGATAAAAAACATTTCCAGGCGATGGGACCTTCTTCACAAGACCCCCGGGCAGCTTTCTCAGAACTTTGCAAAGCTCTCGAGCTAAGCCGACTGTGTGCGTGACAATAACTGTTTTCAACGAAACCGATGTCATGATTGCACACCCATGAGGAGAGCGAATCCGTAACAGTGTGGAGTGAGTTTCCCGAACCGCACAGGGCCTTGCGAAAAAACAACACAAAAACCTGAGGAGCAGAGCTGTGGAGTTTTTGAGCGCCGTGCCGAACTGGTTAAAAACACCCATTTTGACGCATCCTGTCTGCATGGAGCCCAGCAGCAATCCGGAGGTGTGGGTGCTCTTTTTGTCTGTAATAGCTCGTAATTTCCAGACGACTGTTCCCATGTTCGTGTCCGGGGAACACTTAGCAGCTTATCTGAATACTGAAAAGAAGTGTGGATGCGATTAAACCGATATGCCAAATAACTGCAATGGGAAAGGCGACAGAACATCTTTCTTCGCTGGTATCCAAGCACATTTCCACAATTCAGCCAAGACAGGTCTCCAGGATACTGCCTGCCTCCTCACCTGAGCACGGAGCTGTATGTTCTTTTTTATAGCGCTTACAGCAACTTTTAGTCGGATTGTTACCTGCGATTCAAACCCAGGACCTGAAGCACGAAAGGGGCCGAGCAGAAATAAGCTCTGAAATGGGATAACCACACTGGCAGACTGAAGAAAAAGAACAGAGAAAGCACCACTCTTTCCTATAATTTGAGCGTGGATCAATCGTAATCTAACTACACTCATTCATTTCAGAAGCCCATTAATTTCAGTGCCCGGGTGAAATTGGAAGACCTCAGCATTCATTCACCCTTGCGCTGGCCTTTATGTGTGCACCTGTTTGCACAGCTAATGCGTCCTGTTCAATAAGTTCGGGTAATCCTTTGGCACTCACACCAACAATAATCCTTTCCCGTTCGACTCTGTAATTACAAAGGCCTACACGGAATAAACCCAAACTATATAAGCAGGGTTAAAATTACTGCATAACAGATATGAGCCCTCTTTCAAGTCTCGGGTCAGACATGGTGTCCACCTTTCACAGCAGAACCTAACACCAGTTCTGAATGTAATTCCTGCCTTTCCATTGTGAATTGCAATATTACACTGCTCCTCATTTAGGTTAAACACACTGTGAAGCATAAACCCAATTAGGAGACCTGCAAAGTGTGTTTTAAAAATGCATGTAACTGAATCTATATTTTTTTGGTTTCCTAATTCATTACAGAGAGTTTGTATTTACTTTTTAAAATTGAATACCTGTGTTCTGTGGTAAAGCACATTTTAGCAGACACTGACTTGACCAACCTAAAATTAATAAATACTCTATATATTTACACTATAAGTTTTATAACAGTAATAAGTATTTCAGTCACAATAATGATCATATTTACAGTGATATCAAGTGATACACTATAAAAGCTAGTTGGACAACATGGACAACACTGGGTTCTGCGTAGATCAACACCAAACCACTGCCTTAACCAGATACACTGCAGTGAAATGCCACTTCTGTAGTAACCAATGTACTCAAATTTATATATAATTTCAGTCTGAAACAATGTGTTGGTTATTTAAATTAAAGATGTTTCACATGCATTTGTTTTTTACCTGCAATATGACGATCATAAAACACGTAATAGGTTTATTCCATGCTGAAAAGAGAAGAAAGAAAACACAACGTTTCGGCTGTGGAGCCTTTGTTGTGTGCAGATATTATAACCTAAGCACTTTTCATAAACCAGTCACATATGTCTCCATATACAATTCAGAAGGGAGTGCAATGAATAAAGCACTATAAGTAAATGAGGTTTTTGCTTCTGCCTACAGATCTCATACAGACAAGTCAGACGTGCTGATTTTTGAATGCAAGAAAGCTTTTGGTGTCCGCAGACCTTGCCTGTGACCGGGTTTTACAAGCCTCTGGGTGTGACTTCGGCTCTATAAGCTCTTGTCCTCCGTGTGAATCACTGTTCTGGGACTCGCTCATCTCTACAGCCACTGAAGGAAGCTCTGGCCCAGCCGCCCCTGGGTGCAGCTGCAGGGACTCCTGGGCTCATGAGGGATTCCCGGGGGCAGCACCGGTCCCAGGGGGTCATGGGATACTCTTCTCTGCCTGCATCTCAGGTTTGCTTTCGCTCTTCTTGATTATGCCCTTGGCCCTCTCGTTTCATTTCGAACACACAAAATTAAAAAAGGTTTGGCAACAGCAAACTGCAGACCTCACCGTCGCTCATTGAAGTGCTCGGTTTTGCCCGAATCCCAGTGGTCATATTTTGACACACTGTACTTTTGTTTTGGAGTGAATGAATTATTGTGAAAGCAACAGATCGTCGAACAGGAGAAGATGGGGTTGTGAAAGTGTTATGTTTTTTTTTTGTTAAATCCACAGCAAATTTGAAATACATCAAACACAAGCGCAAGTAAAGAGAAAAAGAACAGACAGAGAGACAGATAAATCATCAATGTGGAATGACAGTCACATGTTCTCCTTACTTTGGCTTTGTACAGCTTCAGCTCCAGTGCTTTAAAGTCCAGTGTGCCAATGAGGGATCTCATGAAGTCGCTGAAATATATACAAATATGTATATCAGTGAAACTGTGGGTGTCCCACCACGCAAACTGTGGTGTTTGCGAGTTATAAATTATGTTTGCTGCTGGTGTTTTAAGGTGGCCTGCCACAGCTGAATGACTTCCAAACTAGATCAGTAATGCTCTAGGCAGTACCGGATTTCCCATTAGGCACTGTAGGCACAGAGCCTCGGGCCCGCTACATTTTTAGGGCCTATGAAGGAGAGAGGCACTAGTGACTAACGAAAAACAGCACGCTTGCGATCGACTCTAGGTGCTCCAAATCAAGAATCATCCGCTCTCTAGCAGCTGTTGTAGAAACTAGAAGTATCGGAGAGATGGGCCGAGTCGAGCACTCGCTCCATCGGTCAGGTGGTTTAGCATTAGAATAATTTAAAGTGCATCATGTCAGGCGACGTCATTCAATTGGCGTTACCCCCTCTTTTTGCACTCTTCGGAGTGAAAGTGCCCAGGGCCTATGAACATGCGCACCTGGCTCTAGCGCTCTCCGAAAGGACAAGCACAGGGTGGGAGCATACAGGGAAAAGAGTGAATCCACAAGGACTGTTGAAACCATGATGCAAATGAAGAAAACTTGAGTCATTAGGACACTGGCAAAGACTTAGTGCTCGCACATATCTATCACATTAAATAATAAGGAAACTTTCCCCTTGCCTTGTGATTTCAAGGAAGAGTTTGAGAATGGATAAGAATAATCAGCTGGATTTGACTGCCTGTAGGTATGCAATGTGCTTTGTCATCCCATCCAGGAGAAGAGTCATGAGCTTTCTAATTGCTTCATACCTACAAACCAGGATGAGTTCTGTCCCGATGAAAATTACCATCCTGCCTGTACATGGAGTCTATGGAATTGGAACATGGGAAAATATCCAGGGCTCAGCTATAGGAATTTCTAGCATCAGTTCACTTTCATGCCACGCAATCTGTTTCAAGAAAGAAAAAACTAAAAATCTGACCTAAATGTGACCGGCAGATGTTTAACAAGGCAGCTCATCTTCAGTCATTTGTCCTGCCACACTACTGTGTAAACAGAATCCACTGTGACATAATTCAGCAGAACCCGTCCAATAAATATAAGCTACGATAAAAAAAAAAATGCGTAAAAGATGAGAAATTACAGGACATCAGCCTAAGGAGGCTGAAAACACAGAGACTGAAACACGAGTTCGCGTAGTATTTAGTGTTTGAGTGCTGAACTCTTGGCGGGTAAGTCTCCTGTCAAGTTCATGAGCTGATGATAAACTGTTCTGAGTCCTTTGTGATTGCTTACACTGCCTCATGGCTGAAACAATTAAGGGGAACGCAAGCCTGGCCCAGCAGAATAACGGCTGAAACTGTCAGAAGGACACGGACCGGCCTGTGCACAAAGTGACCACTCGCTGACACTGAAAGGCTTTCACAATAATTAAGCAGAAACAGGCACGCCTCTGTTTTAGGCAGACGTATACTTGCAGCGTGTGGCAGAGCCGTGGTCAGACCCTCTGCATCTCCCCACTAACAAGTTGTGAATGCCCTGTTAAACAAGGATGCTGCCGGCTCCGTGCCACCAGCCTGATGGCATGCATGAGTGCTCCCTGTACTCTCATTGGCCTGCCAGCTACAGAGAGGGCCTTGGCAGGGCCTTTGACAAGAATGAGGGGAGACAGCACAGCTAATGATCATTAATTGCACTTGGTTTGCAGTAAAAGCTCTAATGGGAAGACAACACCCAAAATAATAGCTGCGCCAGGGTCCGGCCTCGCGCCTGGCCTCACTCTTTTGTTGCCCTTCCTCAAACCACGGCACCTCAGTCATTACTGGCATGGACAAACCAGCATCTATCTGGCGCGCCTGACTCACACTTATGCAATGCTATAATTTGGCAGTCCTTTTTAAAGAAGCTTGTGTAAGACGCAAACACATGCTGACCCAGTTAAAGTTTGCAAAAGAAAAAATGATTTAGCTTTCAATTTCAATAGCATTTTTTTTAATGCATGGTCTAGATTTAGTCATCTTGTATATTTTTGGAGGGCATGAGAGAGAGAATGCACAGGCTTTTAACCACGTTCTCTTTGAGGAGGATCGTGTTACCTGTTCACTTTTGAATATGTAGAACAATGCTTTCCCTGCTCGACTGCAGGGAATTACAGGAAATAAACACCATGGGATCTACTGTTCTTTTGGAAACAGACAGAATTGGATTGACAGTATTCTCTCTGCTCAGTGGAAATGGTCAGCGTCTGCAGAAATGCAATATGGACGCGAACTCCAAATGTTTCCTGCAACCCATGTGTATGTACAGTATACAGTAGTGAAAGCACAACGTTGTCACAGAGTGTAGCATAATTTGGGAAAGTTGAAGGTTAATACCCCAAAAACTAGGGGTAGAAATATGTTCTCTAACCTGTCCTTTATTATTTTGCTGATTTTGTAATTGAGGAGGCCCCCAAATTAATTTTTACAGAAATTTTATTATTATTCAATTAAAGCCTCAATACCAGGTTTGAAGAATTTACTATAAATGACACAACAAGAGGATAAAGGTCCAACATCTAAATTGATACATTCAATGCATATTTTATAAGCTTCTTCAGTCTCTTTAGTCAAATAATTTCTTTAGCTTCTGTCTTTGATGTCACTAAATGGTCACCACCATGTCATTAAATTGGGAGGAAAAAACGAGGAATTCCAGAGGTGACACCAATCTTATGTCAGAAAGATGTCTTCGTTTACAATAAAAAAAATAGTTTCAAAGTGTCTGACTGAATTCACAAGATCGTAACCAGTTTTCTAATGTGTAAAAAAATTGTTCGAGATATATGTGAGGTAGAGCAATTATGACAAAAAGCTCTTATTTATTCCAGGTTTTTCTTTTGGTAAGAAAAGGGCATCTGTTGCAGTTATAGCCCTGCCAGTCCATGGTAAGCTTTCAGATTGGATTCGAAAACATAATATTAACATTCGTTCCTATGCTGATGACACTCAAATATACATTTCATTTACACCCAATGACAACTCGTCAATTGTCACTTTAGTTAATTGCATTAATGAAGTAAAGTCTTGGATGTGTGAAAACTTTGTCATTCAACTC